CATATCACGGATCGGGTACATAGTGTCTTTTTGCCTTTTTCTTTTTTTCCTGTCTGCCGTTGTGACCTGTCATTCTGACCGTTTGAACGTCTTTTTAATTCTCTTTTTTGTTTCTTTTTTCCCCCTGGTTTTTCTTATGTTCTCCTGCATCTGGCCGAATCTGAATCGATATGTATCATAGACTTAGTATACCCAACAGAGCAATTTGTGTTTTATCTACAACATTTTCAAGTAATTACTACGGTCCACGCATATGTCGTGCATAAAGAAGACTGGGGGCTGCGGGTGACAACCCACCTGACCGCCCGTTTCACTAACCAGCCGGCATCCCGCACAAAACCACTAGCAGTGAAGCTAGCAGGGATCTTACGAGGGCGGATGTCGCGGTAATCGAATTGACGCATATTTCACACACAAATCAATATACTAGATACGAGCAGGTTAGAATATACACGTCAGTATGACTCATTAGTGGGTAGGGGTAGACCCAATTATTAGACCTCATAGTGTATATGGATTGCTTCCATAAGATCTGAGGTAGCACCGATCTGACGCGATCCTTATCGAGCCTCTATTATGATTTACATCGCATTGCCGGATCCAGTCCAATGCATGGCTGCAAGGCCTATATATTGTACATATCCCGCATGTCGCCGCATGGCTGGAATTGATTGGATATTGCATGCACCATACTACAACTCAAGATAGTGTTAAAATCACACCATACTATCTAACACGGTTGCATGCATACACCCAAAACGGGAATTGGACGTTGGCCAGACTAGGACATATCGGTAACATCCCTAGCATGTGCATATTTAGCTCGTAATATCAACGGCTAAACGCTAGGCGGCCGAGCGGAGCAAGAAGGAAGCAAGATACGAGTTTGGCCCCGTCCGAGCGCCTCGGGTTTTAGTAATCATATTGGTATGTGACATTGCTGTTATGAATACAACAAAACATGGAGGTTAGCCCATTGATAATATTTACAGGTACAGTAGCTGGGCTAACATATGCTCCATGCTCAAGTCGTTTTCTCCTAGTCAATTATAGCACATCCGAGTACTCCGTAGTGGTTCCAAGCTATTTTCCAAATAATCTGATAATGCTAATTAGGCTATGACTGCCTAGAATTGCATGCGTGCTGGGATCCTCGTTGGCTGTTGGCCCATCACTTGACCGATATAGTTGCATGCTGTCGTCATTGAAGAAATCCCGACAATCTGTGTCCAATGGATCTCGCAGATAGTGTTCCAAGGTTTCTTCCCCCGCTTCTACTTACCTAGGTACCCCTCAACCCGATACACTTTGTTTTATCCATGGTTATCCATGGCTTTTCCATGGATATAAAATTGACTTTGTATTTGTTTCATTCCAACTTTGGAAGTAAGCTAGACCATCTTGGTGAGATCAAGTGACCAAAAGTAAGCTTTCGACCAAAGGCTCTCGGATCTTTGCCCTGACAATCTCCATATTTAATCGAATGGAGTTTTGACCTCGGCGTGTCTCAGACCCCAGGGGATGTCTGTGCCTCTTAAAATAACCTTGGAACCTTCCAGGGAACCGGGTTGACCACTATGTGGCTGTCAGCCCTGGGGCCCTAGCATATGTAGCCACGTGCGTCAAATGAGGTCATTCGCTGGGTATATCACTCTAATCGGAGATATAATCATCGAGTACATAATAGGAACCTCGTGATCAATAGGGCCAAGGATGTCTTAGGCACCCTTGCGAGAAATAGCGGTATATAATAGATGCGTTGGACGCCATGGCTCTTAGTTCTTTGGGCTGTGCTATGAGAGGCGGTGAATATGAGAATTGAGGCTCTTAAGGTTCTAGATGGCCTGCGTCGTATGACTGAGCCCCATTCAGCTTTGATGTCGATACCTTTGGTCCGGGCTGAGTGAGATTGATGTCGGGAGTACCGGGTCGAGTATGCTTTTGGGCCAAAGTGGAAAATATATCCGATTCGCTCTTAGTAGAATTACGTATAGTTCAGTCATTGTCAATCTATTCAAAACGAGATATCGAGCTAATTATCAATCATTCGATGAAATGAAATGGCGTTGCCTAGCTCATAGTTCAAGCCACATCTTGGTTTCTTTGCTGACCTCCAAGAAGCTTGGGATCTAGCGCGACACTTGATCGTACTTTTATTTATTTCTATTTTGACTTTCGGGATGTTGAAATGGCATTTGGTCGCGGGACGTAGATGCAGCTATACATCGTAGTATAGCTAAACGAGAGCGACCCATTTTGGAGAAGAGAAAGGAAATTATTTTCTTCCTTTTTTCATTTTATGAAAGATTCATCATCTATAGACCATGCACAGCTCGATTAACATGGATAAACACATTGTATTTTGTAGTCAGTAGAAGCCAAATACCTTATAGTATCAAGAAACTGAGGATAAACACACGTGATTCGCCCGCCCAAATCAATCACGGCCGTCCCTTCTTCTCCAAGCGCAAAGCCACCATGGTACTACAACTGCATGTATGGGGCCCGGCCTTTTCCCTGCCCTCAATTGACGCACAATGTCTTGCTGCAATTGCATACTGTTCCGAAGTCCTCCCTAAGGACTCGTGGGAGCTGATCGCGAGCAGCGATCCCTCCGTGTCCCCAACAGGTTAGTGACGTGACCGGAACAAAAAAAAAAGCACCACCAGAATCAGACAGCTAACTAAACATTTACAAATAGGTGAGCTCCCAGCTCTCCAGAATGGCTCCATCTGGGTGAGCCGATTCCGCAATATCGTCGACTACCTCCGCCAATACTCCGAGGGAGCATGGAACCTGGATCAAAACCTAGACGACGTGCAAAAAGCCGATAGCGTTGCGTACGCACTCCCTACTCCTACAATGGCGTCAAAAACGCAAAATACTAATAATAAACCCGCCCCTCAGCTTCTCCTCCTTCATCGAATCCCGTGGCCAATCCCTCATCGACCTCTCCCTCTACGTAACCAGCCAGAACTACTACGCCAACACATCCCCAGCCTACGGCTCTCTCCTCCAATGGCCAAACCAATGGATCCTCCCACCAAAGCTCCACAGCGCCGCCAAAACCCGCACCGAACACCTCGGCCTATCCTCGCTAGACCTGCAAGCAATGGAAGACCAGCGCAAACGCGAGCACTCCGCCGCCGTAGCATCCGGCCAAATCCCTAGCAACCTGATCCAGCAACCCCGTGACACAGTCTCCAAACTCCTCGGCCGCACAGCACAAACCAACCAGTTCCGCCTGGAAGCCCTCACAGCCGACTACTTCGAGCCGCTTGAAGCAATGCTCTCCCGCAGCAAGACCTGTCTGCTCCCCGCCGACGACAACAACAACCCCTCCTCATTGGACTGCGTCGCGCTGGGCTACCTGTCGCTAGCGCTCGTACCGGAGCTAGCCTTCCCCTGGCTGCGCGACGCAATGCGCGCCAAAGCCCCCCTGCTGGCGGCGTACACGGAGCGCATGCGCAGCCGCTGTTTCGGCGACGCGCCCGCCGAGGCTAAGCACGCTTTCCAGCCGACGACGCCAGCTGCTCTGCCGTGGCGCGCACCTGAGCGTATCTCCGTAGCAGCTGTTGGGACTACACTCCTCGGCACGCTGGCGGATAACACGCCGTTCTTGCGCGAGGTGCGCCAGAATAGGCGGCTGAAGCAGACTGTTGAGGGTGATTCGGCGTTTAGCTCGATTGAGAAACAGGTTCTGTCTTCGTATGCGGATTCAAGTAACAAGGATATGTTGCTGTCTATCGCGACTGCTGTGGCGGGAACGGCTGCTCTCGTTGGGTATATGGTGCATGTTGGCTTGCTTTCTTTCTCGACTGGAGGTGTCCAGGAAGAAGAGGAGCTTGAGGAAGATGCGGGTGTGTTGCAGCTTGATCCTGGGTCTGCGGCTGACTTCCTGGGCGCGTTCTAAGTATTGAAAGCTCCTTGCGTCTGGTTCCGTGGATATTACGGGGTTGGTGTTTTGTTTTACTTTTTTGGGCGAAAGCGAAGGCTGTACGATAGAATTGCTTTCCGTCCTTTGTATTTGTGTGTTGGCTTTTCTACGGTTCCTTGCCACATCAACATCGCAGGTCTTTGATCTGGTCCTCTACTCGAAACATCTCCTTTGTTCTTAGATTTATAATCGAACTCAAATTAAGATTCCTTTGCTGGCTATGGTAAATACACAATCGAGTCCTCAAAGAAAACCTTGGTAACATCCATCTTCGGTAGATATCACTGAATGTATGCTGACATTCCTCCGAAGCCCTAACTCTGAACTTGACATCTCAGATTCAGCCACGGGAATTCTTGAGACTGCTCATAGTCTTACGCATTGAAGCTTTGGAGTTGACCTTTGTAGAAGGTTCAACATTTGGACTTCATCGGCCAATATGTCAACACTATAACTCAAACATGCACGGATAGTTAGTTCAGCCTCATGTAAGCCATCTAATATAGTGCCGAAGGATCATATCACATCGGCTTTGGGGTAGTGAGACTTGGCAATAGATAAGGGTTCGTTTCAGGTTTATGACTGACGAACTGGCGTTGGCACTAATGATCCTGCGAGATTACCCAGACAGGGAATAGTGGACTGATGGTACGCTGGGGTAGATGCCCATATGTAGGTATCGGCGCTTAATGGCCAATTAGATACAATAAAGTATACATAGTAACTAGTTCTAGATGAAAAGAAAAAGGAAATGATATCAACTCTCAAATCAGATGGTATATGTACAGAGAATAAGACGAAAGGACGCGAATCATGACCACAAAGATATGTATGAACTCCTAAACGGAAAAAAGGTATCCGTCGAAGAGCCGCTCGAAGATGGAAGGATGTGTGGCCAGGATGGTTGCTGGGGCAAGCGACCTGCGCACGCACACATCAAATCAGGGGAAAGATACAGAGACACCTTCGGCGTTGAACCATTTGCGCAAGAAAGACAAAATCTCAGTAGAGAGAATAAGATTGCTGAAATGGGACGAGATAAAAAAAAGCATGGAGTGGCCATTTAAGAGGACCAGCCGAGGTTGACAACGAGGCGGACGGGGCCAGCGGACTGGGCGACGGCCTTGTCGGGCTTGCCCTGGTCGGCGGCGGTGTAGGCGCTGACAACACTGGAAGCACCCTGGGAGATGGAGGAGCACTTCTCACCCTCGTGGTTACAGATCTGCATACCAGCAATGTGCAGGTCGGCGAGCTCAGCGATAATGCAGGAAACATCCCAGCCGGAGAAGCCGTCGTTCTGGGAGTTGCTCATGTCGAACTCACCCCAGGTGGAGGCGTACTCGCCGACCATGTTGGTAGGGAGACCTTCGCCCTCGGCGGCACCCCAACCACCCTGGGAGTCGTCATCGATGGCAACGAAGGTGCTGTGGCCGGGCTCGACGGTGAAGCTTAGAGCCTTGTTGGGGCTCCAGAAACCGTTCAGACCGCCGCTGGGGCCGTAAGAGTTCCACATGACAACGGTCCAGGCCTTGGAGTTGTCGTTCTCGAAGCGGATAACGTGCTTGTACTCGCTGGCGGTGTCCTCTTCGACACGGATGATGTTGCTACCCCAGGGGCTGCCGACGTTGCCGATGTAGTCCCAGTCGAGGGAGCCAACGCGCTTGCTGCCAGTGGAGGAACCGAATCCTGTGGTGGAGTACTTGCCGTCGGAGGGGTAGTTGGCCCAGTTGCTGGAACCGGAAGAGCTGGAGCTGGAGGAGCTGGAGGCAGCGGGGGTAGGCTTGACGCTCTCAATGGCCTCCTCGGTGGTCGAGTGGGCGGCGGCGGCAGTGGTGGTGGAAGTGGGAGCAGCGGTAGACTTGGGGGCCTCGGTGGTGGAAGCAGCCTCAGAAGAAGTGGAGGACTCGCCGAACCAGTTGTTGATCCAGTGGACGAGCTTGCCGTCGATGGTAGCGGCAACAACATCTTCACCACGCTTCTCAACATTGGCAATCTGGGGGGCAGCAGTGACAGTGGGCTCGATGTCAATGTCGACGACGTCTCTGACGTGGTTGTGACGGCGGTCGTGGCCGTGAAGACGAGCGACAGCCGACCCAGCGGTCAGCGCCGTCATCAACAGCATAGAGTTGGAGAAATGCATCGTGGGAATTGAACTTGAAAATGAGTGACTTGAGCGAAAGCTCTGGACGAAAATTCAATTCAAATGAATGTGTGTGAGGATGAAGAGAGAAGAAGAGAAGAAAGTGGACTAGGGGGGGACTATTAGTACAATACCAAGTTACACACCAACGGGTCTGGGACCTGAACCCAAAAAAGAAACTTCAAAATATCAGGGGCCAACGATTTATGATTGGTCCGTTCCTGGCGGTTCCTGGCCGTGCGCCCAAGTTATTTGATCTAATTGGTTGGGTGCCAAGGGCCCAGACTCTATTCTCATGGTATTGTGTACTTGGCTATACTATGCCTCTCAGGCTGTGCACTTGGGATAAGGGGTTCTCTCCTATTTAGTACTTCTTATATTCTCTATTATAGAACATGTTCTATTATTATGATTCCTATTATTGGGATTTATATTGTTTTATAGTTGCCTAATGTCAAACACGTGTACCATCGGAATGTTGACCTCGAATATGTGGACGTCACTCCATCAGAGCCCAGCGTTGATACTTACTACGAGTAGAATGAGCGTTTATATGACCAAGGTTCTGTAAAATTTCCATCTGCACAAAGAACGTTCAAACTTACACATACACTTTAAGACAACACCATATCCCCGTCATCCAGAATTCCCCACATAAACCAATCGGCGTAGTCTACAGCAAGGATCTGAACTGTCTTACGAATCCCCAAGGCAATCTTAAATGAGGACAACTCATCACCGCATAACTACGTGCACAATAATCAACACCTTATAACCATGTCAGTACCCAACTGATTATATATTCCATTACAACATACACTTCATGACACAATTAATATAAGGATTGTCCTTGCTCTGTCAATCGTATCCACGGATGTGCGCATAACAGGGCGAATCTCTGCCGTTGATCTGCGGCCAGGCCCCTACGCGGCCGATGGGTCCTCGATATTTTTCTGTAAGGCACACCCTATTTGTATATTCGCTGGTAGCGTCGAAGCCGTTCCCCACCCACATGACGAGTCTCCGGGTTGTCTCCATAGTGGCAGGCCGAAACTGGCCCGTCGGGAATCCAGGCCTTCTAACTCGGCAAACTGGGGCTGGATGTTGAGGTTTCATGTGTCTAGTCTCACTGAAACTTTAAGCGCACTTGGCTTTTCAAAGCCTCCGTACTCTGTACATCGTATGTAGTACTCCCGTACTCCGTATATTAATACTCTGTACTGTATCCTCGGTATGAACGGTATACGGAGTACATTTTGCCACAGGCGTTTCCTGAAACATTAGGGTTATTCAGGAACCCCTGGCAGACTCCTTGATGCAGGTACCCTTGAATAAAATACTTTAATGACTCCAAACATTCTAGACGCCTTTAAACCCCTTAGTGTAGAAAAATTGTAGAAAAATGGGCTTGTCAATAAACAAAACCAAGGTCGACCCGGGAGGATCCTCGGTACGATCGATCTACGACTTGTCCTATTGGCTGTGGGAAATGAAATCTGCTGTCAGTGTACCCGTGAACCGTAACCATAAAAGAAAACACCACATGGCTCTACATATTTTGATGGTAATTTAAATTAGACCCAGATAGTTCAAACTCTTCAAAGAATCAACTGCCTAAGTAAATATGGCTGAAAAATCAAATCATACCACTGGTGGAGCCAATACTAGTATTTACAGATCTTCCGTTCAAAGAGGAAATTGCCGTCACACAAAAATAGACCTCGACCATTGGCCCAAGATATATGTACTCATATAGGTAGTGGCGGTTCATTCATTTACCTCTCAAGTCCACCCCACCGTCAAACGCCACACCACCAGCGGCCGCATCTAACTTAAGACTATCATCCAGCCCACAGACTCTAAACAGCATCTGAGGCGTCAACTCCTCATCGAGACCAGGCAAGCCATCTCGCTTCAATTTCTCCAGCCCCTCCCGCATAGCCAGGAGAGCCGGACCCAAAGTCGCAAATGGGAAGATGATAACTCGGAACCCAATCTCCTTCGCTTCCTTGGCAGAAATCGAAGGCGTAGACCCATGTTCCACCATATTCAACAACAAAGGCCACGGCGCAAGGTCGGCCACAACCCGGTGAGCCATTTCTCTCGATGAGATTCCCTCTAAGAACCCGACATCCGCGCCCGCATCCTTCGCCGCCCGCAGCCGCGCCAAGCTCTCTTCATAGCCATGCTGCTGCAGCGAGTCCGTCCGCGCAATGATCACGATATCACTGCCGATACGTTCGCGCGCTTGCACAGCCGCCCGAATGCGGCTGGTGTAGGTTGCCGTGTCGACGAGCTGCTTGCCGAAAAGGTGTCCGCATCGCTTGGTCTGTACTTGGTCCTCGATGTGGAAGGCCGCCACGCCGGACCGCGCGTATTGCTCTGTTGTCCGAGCTACCATGATCGGCCCGCCGTAGCCGGTGTCGGCGTCGGCGATCAGCGGTGTGCGTGGTGAGAGGTTTGCTAGCATCTCTGCGTTCGCTCGCATGTCGTTCAGCGTGCAGATTCCGAGGTCTGCTTGGCCATGCACCGAGGCTGCTGTTCCGGCGCCTGTCTGGTTGGTGGTGTCAGCTCGGGCATTTTGACGGGGACGTCTTGATCATCTCGCATTGCATACCATGTATAGCGCATCAAAGCCTGCTGCCAGTGCTAGTCGTGCTGACACTCCGTCATATACTCCTGGGGCTGTGATGAATACCTCGGGATCCTGTAGAGATCGCCGCAGACTGGTTGCTGCCGATGGAAGAGCCATGATTGTTGTATTGCTAACGGATAGAGTAGTGCCTCGCTGCGGCTGATCCGATATACGTAGAGCTATTATCGGAGTGAAGACTGGGGGTTGGGTATACGCTCGTCTCAGGAAATGAGCCGCGCGAATAGCTTTCTCTCCGAAGGTAGGACCTCATTGTGGCATTGGAACGCACGTGTGAGACAAGCTTTCGCTCATCACTTCCCCACCCATGAGTTTTTTCACGCAATTACAATCCCTCGATGACGTGAACTCTCCACTTATCCAGAGCCACGGTGCCGATACCGCCCTCTTATGCCGCCGCCTTTATATCAACACTAAGGCACCTGCACATCTTAGAAGATATACCTAAACCCGGTATTGATTCAGGGAAGATTAATTAATGTAGATGTGATTGCCAGATTGTTCCGGTATTGAGTGATATAATCTTGGACTATATCAAGGCCTAAAATCTCCAATGTCACAATTACCATACCAAAAAGAACTCAAATGGCTTGGCAATGTTGAATATGTAGACCTTGGGGGCTACTATGAGCGGCAATTCAAGCGAGATACTTACCTGGATATTTTTCACTGAATTACCACAGATGTAGTATAGTCTGCAGTATAGTCTGTGGTGATATAGGCCGAAGCCCTTCTATCCTTTGCTCCTTCCTATTTCTCCGTTCTTTCAGTGGGAAACATCAGCCCCGCAGATCTGCTTAGTCATGCATTTCCTTCGGTCCCATCTCGAATTCCATTCATTCCATCTAAAATGAACGTTTTGGCGCTCCTAATTCTTTAATTCTCGGTCCTTTACCCAAATATTTGCCCCGATGGCTCGCTCATCCGTCGTTCAAGAATATGCATCGCCCTCCACCCCAAACCCGACCCTCACCATCGACCAAAAGTCCACCGCCGAGCTCCAGAACTTACAAATAGCTCGTCCACAAGGTTATCGGGTATCATGGCACGCCAATCCAGCCGTCGAGCCCCACCACTTTGGCCAGTCACATCCAATGAAGCCATGGCGCCTCACGCTCACCAAACAGCTTGTCATGGCATACGGCATGCACCACGCCATGGACCTGTATCTCGCGCGCGCAGCGACCTATGAGGAAATGGCCGACTTCCACGAGAGAGACTACCTCGACTTCCTGCAGCAGATCATGCCCGGCGACATGGACAAGCCCGAGCAATCGGATAATGTGGTGCGCTTCAACTTCGGCGACGACTGTCCCATCTTCGACGGCCTGTACAGCTACTGCTCGCTCTACGCCGGCGGCAGCGTCGACGCCGCGCGCAAGCTCTGCAACAATCAATCCGACATTGCAATCAACTGGTCCGGCGGCCTTCACCACGCCAAAAAGGCCGAAGCTAGCGGCTTCTGCTACGTCAACGACATCGTGCTGGGCACTCTCCAGCTTCTCCGCCACCACCCGCGCGTCATGTACATCGACATCGACGTACACCACGGCGACGGCGTCGAGCAAGCTTTCTGGTCAACCGACCGCGTGCTCACAGTCTCTTTCCACAAATACGACAAAGACAACTTCTTCCCGGGAACCGGTGCACGCGAAGACACAGGCCCCGCACACCCACTCAACCCAGGCGCCCACCACGCAATCAACGTCCCACTCAACGACGGCATCGACGACGAATCCTACATCGCCCTCTTCAAAGAGGTAATCGGCGCATGTATGAAGACCTACCAACCAGGTGCAGTCGTTCTACAATGCGGCGCCGACAGTCTGGGCTGCGATCGACTAGGCTGTTTCAACCTGAATGTGCGCGCGCATGGCGCCTGCGTCGCATACACCAAGACCTTCGGCCTACCCATGCTAGTCGTTGGCGGTGGCGGCTACACACCGCGCAACGTCTCCCGCGCATGGGCGCACGAGACCTCCATTCTTCTCGAGGCAGATAAGATCATCGACCCCACTATCCCGGACTCTGTGGCGTTCCGCAATCACTTCGGTCCTGATTACTCGCTCTTCCCACCCCTGTCGGAGATGCGCAAGCTTGATAATAAGAACACGCGCGCGTACCTTGAGAGCCTTGTCGAGGCTGTCCATGAGCAGCTGAGGTATATCAAGGGCGCGCCCAGTGTGCAGATGAGCTTTATCCCGCCGGATATCCTGGGGTTGCGTGAGGATACCGAGAAAGAGATTGAGGAGCAGACGATGCAGGTTGAAGAGGAGAGGGAGGAATATGAAGGTGGTGGATCGATGGCTGCTGCAGATGCAGCGGCGGCGGGTTCTGGATTGGCCTATACTGGCTCTGCTGGTGCTATCCCGCGACCTAATCGGCGGCGGGATCTAGAGCGTGGAGCTGGATACAGGGGAGAGTTGTATTCATGATCTCTGTGCTTTGTGACGGGTAAGTCACCCCCAGGAGTAAAGAATGGTTTGACATGGCGTTTTGTATGTATTTGGATATCGGAGGGGAGTTTTGGTTGTCTTTGTATGGTAATATTTGGTGGCATGGGTAGTTGCCATCTATTGTGATATCCCTCTCTTCTAGGAGAGCTTTGTATAGTAACGGACAGAGAAGACACAAAATTAATCGATCAAAGTCAAGTGGACTTGAGCAAGAGGCCATAATCCTGGATACTAACAGTCGAAATGGGGAGATGTATCAAAAAGTCCAAAATACTGGGCCATAAGTGTATAAAATGCAGAGACCCCAACTTCTTTCATATTCCCGTGTGACTATTTTCCTTTCGGTGGATTCTTTGATGTCTCATTTACACTGCATTAAAGGTTCCTACGTGCCTCTTCTCTTATTTAGGGCTGTGTGGACTAGAGGATGTACTCATTTTCAGGTGAGATTTCAGGAAATTGTTTTTTGAATTTTGAATTTTGAGATAAATCAGATCGGGTATCCAGCAATGGGAGCGGCATGGTGGCCGAGAAGAACGCTGTGTTGAAACATCAGAGGGGCAGGGAAACTAACTATCACAATGGTGTCGGCCGCCTCGAGTTGTGGCTGTGCTGGGTATTTCTGCGCAGGTTGACTACGTCATGGCAGAATGAGAGGAAGAGGGAGTGTGATAACACTCCATGATCATTCAAACGTGTAGGTGAGAGGAAAGGGCCGAGCAACCGGGTTTGATTAGGTCGGTGATAGCACGGATGGGGGCCGGAGGTGGACGCAATGGGACTTTTTTGGGTGGCTTATGAGGTTTCCTGGGCGTCTACAAACTTCTCCGCTTCTGATGTTTGAGAATCTGTCCGTTCCACGGCGCTCTGAGTCGCATCGGGGTTTGTCTCGGAGCCTGGGGGTGTGGGCATTAGCTGGTTGTGGTGGGAGATGCCTGGGCCTAGTTCGCGGAACCGGAAAGATGGGGGTGATGCGGCGGGATTTGAAACTGGGATGACTCGTTCTGACCTTGGACGATGGGTGCGATTGAGAGAATCTGCTTGGTGGCAACCTCGGGATCGCTCATATCACTGGGACAGTCAGTCATTGATTCTTTAGGGTTTGAGTAATCGTTCTTACATTTGAGCATTGATGATCCAGTCAAGGTCTTCTTCACCCTCATCCGGTCCACCTGGGCCGCCTTGGATGGGACGGAAAAGTCGAGGATGCCATTCGACTCCCTCATGGGCGCGCTTCGCGGCCTCGTCTCGCTGGCGGTCTTCGATCTTGGTCTTTTCGTCTGTTGCAGCTTCATGATCCCGGGCTATAATCGCTTGGACAGTGTCATGCCATAGCCGCTGCGATTCTCGCTCTCCTTGCTCCTCCATGGGGCGAACCAAAGGAGGTGTAGCTTTCGCGTGTGTCGCATCGAACAAGAGGTCTTTTTTGTGGGTCTGTTATCTGTCAGCGTTGAATCCGGAAGTAAGCTTGGGAGGTATGCAGAGCGTACATGAACATCCTTCAGATCCATCTCGCCATTCCACAATCCGGACAGTTCATATAGCACTTCCCCGGTCTGTTCGTTCTTGATAGTTCCCCCGATCACGTTATAACTACCGGAGAAATATCCCTTGGTCTTGAACTCGATATCGGCCACGAGGTGGTTCTCAGGACAGCGTATGTAGCTGTGATCGCCAAGCTCATACCTCATCTTTCCGAATAGGATGCCGCGCGCATACATGTTGGGTTGGGTTAGAATACTAGGTTTTGGTTAGTAACCGAAAGGTCTATAGGGACCGGCGCAACATACTATCTTTCGCCCTTTTCTTTATCTCCGTGGTTCAACAGCCGCAAAATGGCGATACCCTCCATAATACTGGCGGCGGAGTTGCCCAAGAATTTACTGTGGGGCTTGAGTGTTCCATCGATACGAATTTTATGCTCCGGTGCTGCAAAGAAATAGCTCGACTTCGGCGGGTGGTGGGAGGTCTGTTCGGAGATGTAGTAGGCGCGGGTTCCGTCGGGATAGTCCCAGTAGCAAGTAAAGGTCTCTCCCAGAATGGGGTTGAGAGGCTTCTTCACTCCTCTGTGCAAATATTAGAATATGTTCCTAGACAAACAGGAAGCGGGCGACATACGGCGGTTTGATGTGCCATCCACTCAGATAAAATTTGACCACGGAGATAAAGCGTTCGACGGGATCCTCAATAGCCGACATAGGGAGGAGGGTTTCAGGGTGGGCCATGAAGCTATAGAAATATGTGTGTTAGTTCATAGATCTAAATAATATCCGGTAGCTCCAAGCGGACAGCTTGGAGCTGCGGGGTGTAAACGTACTTGGTGATCCGCTCCAGCATAGACCGGGGCTCGAGAATGAATGTCGGCAAGACGACACGACTCAGATCGGCGCCCGGCCGGAGTTGAGAAATGATATGCGAGAGAACTATACCGATATATAGAGTCAGTGCATGTCTAGGACTATGCGTGACGATTTGCACGTACCATTTCCCTGATCGGGCTCAACGATCTCGTCCTCTCCACTTGGCGTGGAATCATCCATGGATGACCTAGATGATCTGCCTGGATCAACGTTAGTTGACATGTTGAAATTATTTGATGTATGACAGGGTGAAAAATAAGAGGGGGAAACTTACTGGCCTGGGAAGCACGGCGGAGATGCGGAACCGGCATGACTGCGTTCGGAAATAAGCTATATAACGGAATTCCGCTAAGCTAAAGGCATTTATGAAATAAAGAGGAGGATATCAAGGCTATCAAGGATATTCAGAGGAAAAGAGAAAATAAAGCAATAGATGCCTTGATAAAAAAAAAAAAAAAAACAGCTGATTCGTTTTGGCGGAAATTCCGGAAACCGGGCTTTTTTTTTCACTATGGAGAAGAAAAAAAGAACATGAAAAAAATGAAAATTTAATGTAGTTCAAGAGACACAACAGACACTAAAAGACACTAAAATATTCCACATAAATATTCATACAACATACGGTAAATGCTTAGTAGGAGGGGCTAGTGACGTTCTTTCTGACTGGGATCAGTAAGGTGCTTATTCGTGGATTAGCTACCCTACACCTGGGCATATCGAAGTAGATCTCTACACTCTATAGAGGAGTAAAATATAAATAAAAAAATAACTCCTTTAGCTTCTTTATGTTCTATTCAACGTTTTCCCCCTAAAGATCATCAATGAGGGGCAGGCTTGGCAGAGAATTGTATAAGTGGGCTACATGCAGTACATTTTGCTTGGTACTTATGTACCTAGCTCTGATCATAGACATTGTTTTTCTCCTCCAAATAGTGGACATCACAGCCGGTCAATTAACGGTACATCTCCGCAGGTGATCTCCCTAACAAATTCCATATCGGGACGATGAAGCATGACGTGGAAGTGTTCTATTCCAGGGACTGACTTGAGCGACTTCCAATTCTTGAACCAGACCACCTATGTTGTCAGTCTTTCATCATAATAATGCTGACATCTCCCATACCTGTTCGTGTGGTACCCGAGAGCAAAACGTCTCCTCCACATAGCTCTCTATGGCCGCTCGTGCGCTTGGCGTTAGGTCATCTGTGGTTGGATCATCCTCCAGTTGGAACTTGGTCCACACTACTAGATGAATGATGTCCTTATCCACACCATATGGCCAGTCGTTGTATATGATTCGGATGTCCTCTATACATCCGTTAGTATTCCACGTGCTCTAGACCCAACCAGGTGACCTGTGTCATACCCTCGTATTCGAAAGCACTACCTCTTGGCTTGATGTCTTCCACGTTACCATCCCCCCAGCCCAGCCTTTCTTTCACCACAAACCTCATGACGGATGCATACTCCGCCTTGATGTGCGCCATGTATTCCAGATACTTGCGCAACTCGCTTGGGACACGCTGGAATCGATCGATCCGGTTGGTGCCTGTTTACAAGTTATAGTTAGTAAATTGAGTATATCCAACCAACAGCTATACTTAACTGGTGATCTCCTTCACCTGCTCCCAGTTCTGTCGGGTATAAAGGTGGTCAGGGGTCGAGAGGCATCTGATATTCTTTGGCGTTTGGTCACGTAGAAAACTGGGACATTCGGCCGTCCATTGCGACCGAGGTAAATTGACGAGCCAGTACGGGAGGCTTTCGGAGTATAGGCTGTGATCCTCGAAGCGCAGGGCCGCATCGGCATCGGTCAATTTTCCATCGAGGGTGCTGATTGGGGCCGTTGATAGACTCCTAGAGTGAAGCATCACGACTAGATCGAGTTCTGGACTGGTCTAGTTCGGTCCGTACTAAAATGTGATGTATGGTTCGAGTGTTGAGTGAGTATCCCCCTTGAGACGGCGCCACTCTGCAGTAGTGCCGAAAGGGCGTATGAAGTTGAGGTGTTTCCGGGAGTTGCTTGTCGATCACATATCCACCGATCTATTTTTATACCAGGTATATTATCAACACTGGAAATTGTTTCAAATATACATATCAGACGTTGGGAGCTGGCTTATTTTCTCCAATGTGAACACAGACTGTGGCATACATAGAAACACATCACACAGAGGCCTTAGGCACCCAAATGCGGTCAGGCCTAGTTGAATCTCTTGTCCCTTATCTCCTTCGGCTCCAGGACATTCTGAATGCACACATTCTTTCTCTCCATAGAGAACTCTCATTATGTAGCATTTCTTAGGGCAACACATTCAAGTGAAAATATATTGCCTTCATATACAGGGCTATTATTAGATCTACAGCCAGGCAGCATGGAACTTGAATCTAAATTCAACACAAGACGTGGAGCAATAAATACCCGGAAAGAGATCTTTGTTTCTGAATAAAAGCAGGATAAAAGAAAACAAGACAGATCAACACTTCCCTCCCAGATCCTTGATGATGGGGTCATTCATAGAGATGATAGACACCCCGGCAAGCTCAAGTTCATCCTGAATGTCATTCCAAGCACTAGGCTCGACACACTTTGTTCCTTCCTGAATAACCCAACTTCTGAATCCAGTCTTGGCAGCATCAATAGCTGTAGCCTTGACACAATGATCCCCAGCTAAGCCCACAACAAATACATCTGTAACGCCTTGAGCTTTGAGGGTTGCGGCAACATCTAGACTGACCGAATTCGCGTTTGTTCCATGATCACAGTTTCCAAAAGCATCCGCAAATACAGAGTACATCTCGACTCCCGGGCGCATGCCTTTGTGAACAACTAGGTGGTCGATAGAGGTGTCAATCTCTGGGATAATCTCTGCGCCGGGGGTGCCAGCCACACAGTGGACGGGCCAGAGTTGCTGTATTTTTGTTTCTGATTCCTTTCCTAGAGCGGGGTTGTTTATCGCGACTGATGAAGTAAAGGGATGGAAGCCGGGCCCATGATTACTGGCAAATGAGATATGGTCTTTTGGGTGGTAGTCTTTGGTCATGATGCGTGCGACAAATCCTGGTTTTGCGAGTAAAGTGTTGATTATCGGGGCAATACTGCGACCTCCTGCCACAGCGAGTGACCCATGCTATTCTGTGTATCAGCATATATGGCCTTTCTATTGTATATATTTTCACTCACTGGAGAACAGAAATCTTCTTGCATGTCCACAACAATCAGGGCTGGCCTGATAGTATCATTTGCTGCCATTTTGGAGCGGAAAGATGTGAGGGTAGCTGCCGATGGAGGTTATGAACAGGATTATGGAGAGGTTTAAAGCTTTGGAGATGGTAGATTCTGTTTAATTGATGCCCTATAAGTAAAAGAAAGGGTACAAAGACCGTATCAAGAGAGTGATGCCTAAAAGGGAATGTGTATAAGATTACGATAAGCTCTATATTTGTCAGGCAGAATATGAGCTCCCGTTAGCTCCGTCTCTAGGCGGAAGAATAAGCGGTAGATCATGACTAAGCCAGGGCAACAAAACGAAGCGTTTCAACTTTCACCAAACTCGCTCTTCTCTCGTCTCTCAGGGCTACGGCCCGTGATAACTGGTATGTGTCTCGTCTTACTCTCTCCTTCCCTCAACCTGATGAAATACCTTATTGGAGCTGTCTGAGCTTTTGCTATGCGGATAAACTTTATACGCTTTTTTCTGAACTTGTGTTTTTCACATCTCACGTCACAAAAAAAACTATTTTAAATCAGTCGCTAATTGCCTCTGATAGTCAAACAGATTGTAAAACTCAAGAAACCTGGTCATCGACTCCCAAATACCTAGAAGCACCCTTAGTCTCTCTCTATTATCATTTCCATAGTCTCCCCCTCAAAATGGCATATGATCCCCGCCGAACAAACTCGGGGACCTCAACTCCCCAACCTCCTCCCCCTCCACCACCAGTGTCCTCCACACAAGCCGACATGGCCGCAGCAGCCCAAGCCCTAGAAACGTCCAACCCGGCCAACACAGCCACAGACTCGTACAAGCTCAAGTTCTGCACAGTCTGCGCCTCAAACAACAACCGCTCAATGGAAGCTCACCTCCAGCTCTCCGGCGCCCCAACGGCCTTCCCAGTGATATCCTTCGGTACAGGTTCCCTCGTCCGTCTCCCCGGCCCATCAATCACCCAACCAAACGTGTACAGTTTCAACACAACCTCCTACAACCAAATGTACGAAGAGCTCTCGAGCAAAGACGAGCGTCTGTACCGCGGCAATGGTATCCTGAATATGCTCGACCGCAATCGCCAGTTGAAGTGGGGACCCGAGCGGTTCCAGGACTGGGTGCCTGGTGTCCCGCGTGTCGACCATCTCTCCAAGGGTGACAAGGGTGCGATCGGAACAGAGGGCGGTGTCGTCGATGTCATTATCACCTGCGAAGAGCGCTGCTGGGATGCTGTTGTTGATGACCTGATGAATAAGGGAACCACACTCAATTACCCCGTGCATGTATTCAATGTCGATATCAAGGATAACCATGAGGAGGCCTTGACGGGTGGAAAGGCGATTCTTGATCTGGCCAATCGTCTGAATGAGGCTGCTGTCGCGGAGCATCGTGTTCATGGCTCTGAGGGCTGGGAAAATGGGACCGGTCCTGCACGACAGAGCTTCGATGAGAAGGTCCCTGAGATCTTGGCGGATTGGCAAGAACGATACCCCAATTTGCCGGCACTGTGGACTTTAGCTTGGCTTTAGTTCACTGTCTACGTTACGACCTGGATATCTATTTACCTACAGCCTTCCTAATGGAATGGTTTAATACCAATGATTTGCAGGTGCCGTGTTATCCAGATGAAGTGTTTTTAGCGTGGTCAGATATGGCATTATTTAATGCATGTTATACAACTAGAAAGGGGGTATCAAACAGGAACGAATAGCAACAAATGCAAAACCACTCAAAGATCCTAGCTCTCCTCCTTGGGGCCCTTCTCGTCTTTGATCCATCCACCTTTCACATCCATCTCCTCCTTAGGAATATTTTCGTCTTTGATCCACTCCTCTTCAGAAGTGTTTTGGTCCGCAGAAAGTAGTACCTCTCTCCTCTCTCGATACCACTTGTCGAGACAAGCTCGCCGCTGCGCTTGGGTCATACCCTCAACAACGAGCGCAAACTCCGTAGCATCAGCGTATCCAAACCGCCGCGCCATACTACAGAACTGGCGGCGTATTACATCCTCTGGAGGATGATACTTGAATCGTACAGGTTCCCCTGTTGGCTGAGAGAAAGGCTGCGAGGACATGAAGACCTGGCGGTCACCTGTCGTGTCATTTGGAGCCAGTTCAGCACGACGACTGAGGTCTTCCTCGACACGCGAGGAACCGATCACTTCATTGTTGAGGTGGGTGTATTCCACGCCTGCGCTTGCGAGAATCGCTTGGACGGGGTCGTGTTTATGCGGTGTTGGTAGATTGGCCGAAGGCTTATGGTCCTTTTTGTCCTCATCTTCGCCGCAGATCATCGCTGCGATTTGGCTCATTGCCTCATCTTCGGATTTCATTGGTCGATCGGTGTAGTCGTAGCCTTCTTCTTCTGCTTGAAGGTCTATGTCGACGACCTGTACACCCGCACGGCTTTCAGCGACATTCGTTCTGTTGACAATGTCGCGCAGAACGATGTTCGTGTTCTGATACCCGAAGAAATTCTTCAGGCCAAAGATCTCACCCTTTTGATCTTTCTTTTCTTGGACGCCTTTGAAGTACCGACGCTCGGAACTTGCGTTGTATCCAATGTTTGCCTGTTGCTGCTTGTAGATCTGCCGAGCATAGACGATTTCTTCGATCGTGCCAGCAGAAATAAGTCGGAAGACTTCCACGTCGCGAAGTTGTCCTATGCGGTAGGCCCGATCCTGGGCCTGCAAGTCGTAGGACGGGTTCCAGTTTGGATCAACAACCACCACTTTGTTTGCCGAGGTGATGTTCAAACCAATACCACCAGCCTTGGTTGATATTAGGAAAACAAACTGCCGCGGGTCGGCATTGAATTCGTCCACAGCTTTTGCACGGTCATCGAGACTCATAGATCCATCCAGATAGCTGACGTTGTAGCTAGTGTGATGGAACAGCATTTGCAACATCTTGAGAAGACGTACGCTATGCGAGAAGATAAGAACTTTGTCTCCATTCGAATGCCACCATTTGAGTAGCTTCCGTAGAACCTTCCACTTGCCGCAAAACTCAGGGTTCGCATAGTTAACGATCGAGTCGCGCGAGCGGTAAAGATCTTCCCACTGTTCAGGCAGCGCAAGTTCCAAATAATCTCTATCTTTTTCCTGCTTCTCTTTTGGGTCTACTCCTTGTGGGATCAGGATTGCCAGATGATTGCTGAGCTTTTGAAGCACATTAATAGCAGGGAACACGTAGGATTGCCAGTTTGGAGGGTCCCTATCGGGGATAAAGCGGCGACAACACCAGCCGGACTTCTTGCCCGATCTACACTCGCATGGTTCTGTAGATGTCTTGATATAATCGACGATGTCACTGTCAAGGAAATTCTCGTAGGCCTCTGCTTGTGTCTCAGTCAGAGGACAGAAGACAACCCGGTCGATCTTTTTGGGCAGCTGATCTGCGATCAAGGACTTCATCCTCCTGATGAAAAATTGGGGAAGTAAGTTCTCAACCAGCTTCTTGGCTGTTCTCCGTGCTCTACTGAGCTCGCTCAACGTAGCATCGTGCGATTGACCGATCTTCAGTGGCTCTGATATTTGTGCCTTCCAGGTGGATACCGGACCCAGAACACCGGGGTTCGTCCAGTTGAGAAGAGTCCATAGTTCTTCATATTTGTTCTGGATGGCCGTGCCGGTGAGCCCTATCCGACATAACGCATTAATCTCGTTCATAGACTGAGTGGTCCCTGACTTGCGCTCCTTGATCTTGTGGCACTCGTCGGCGATCACGCAGTCCCATTCAATCATATTGACAGAATCTTTGTTGTTCATGTAAGTGGTGTAGGTTGTAATCAGGATTTCCACCCTCCCCGACTTTGCCGCATCGAGGGCAAGGTCCTTGTTCTCCCCGTGGTAACTTTCAACATGCCACCATCCCCAGCGCGCAAACTCAGACTTCCAATTTGCGATAAGGGTTCCTGGGCACACGATGAGCGTGCGTGGATACCAAACGCTGTCATCAGATCTGCGCATCTTTCGCATGCGCTTTGCGTCCCGTTCGTCCCCTGTCTTTCCATAGGCAGCGGTCAAGAAAGCAATCACCTGAATGGTTTTTCCGAGACCCATGTCGTCCCCCAGGACACCACCCTTTTGGTATACAAATAGCTCGTGGAGAAACGCTACTCCCTCCACTTGATACTGCCGCAACCACTGGGCGATCGGGGCAGGAATAATTCCCATCGAATATGGAAGTTCGATGTCCTTATAGTCCTGCTTTCGGGTGTTAATAGGAAAGACAGGTCGTTCTTGAAGTTCTTCAAGCCGTTCATCATCTGAAAAATCGACATCCTCGTAGGTGGGTGGCAGTTTGAGTCCGTGGTCCTGTAGATGCTCATACTTTCGGTCAAACTGACTACGGCGGATTTTTAGATATCTGGGCAAGGTATTTTCCATGAGCTCATCTTCTGAAGATACCTCGCCCCATTGCTTCAACGGCCGTTTAGGCAGAGGCGTTGGCCGCTCTTGTTTCACTCGACCAACGATTGGATCTCCCCTGGGCATTTTGGCTTTTCGAGTTGCTGCAGCGGTTTGTTTGCGCTTGAGGGATTTGCGCTCCTTGAATTTCTTGTATGCTAGCTCGCCATCGTTGGCGTCCTCCTCATCGCTGTCAACGGGCTGGATCTTTACAGCGCTTGATGACCCGGAAAGAAGAGTACGCGACGGCTCGGATTTAAACGGTGTATCAGCCCCGTGTTTCACACCTGAAAACCTGTCTGTAGAGAATGTGAGCTGTCTGTTAAACGCGTCGAAGAGGTGTCATACTGCTAGTAGTTGGAGTTGCATAGTGCGTCACCTCCAAGTCGTCATCATCTGAATCGATGGTGATAATCTCCTCGGTGTTCTCATTATTCGCCATGTTCCCTGCATTTCTGAATACAAAGCTCAAAGGGTGACAGAGCGCAAGTCCAAGTGGAAGTACCAGACTGTCGCGACACAGGATCCCTGACGGCAGGCGATAACGGCCACAAAGCAAGGTTCAATCTGTTCACTCAACAAAGCTCCAATTGAAAATTTTTTTAATATAGATTTTGGCACTCTGTTTCGCCTTTCGTCTTAGAAACGGTTGAATCTCATTAATATCTCCTGCGTGCTCAAAGAAGTAGTTAAAACTGTTCAGCATTTATAGTTGTTACGCCAGGTCACGTGCAAGAGAACCAGAAAAAAAGATGCTCTCATTGGTTTGGCATTCGATTCTTTGCATATGCGATAAAGCCAACGTAAGTCGAGAATAATATTCTACTACCCTCATTGCTCAATCAAGGCACACCTGACTAACCTAAGCCCGCAGAGGACACAAATTAAAGCTTGAATTTCTGCTTGACATACCCTTTTTTCACTCAAGACAACTCTTTGATCTTATCAGAAGCTCAATTCAACCCGCAAAGATGCCGCTGGACACCTCGACAACATATCCCCTGACGCGGCTGCGTCTTGACGGCCGCCGGTGGAATGAACTCCGCCTGCTTCAAGCCCAGATCTCAACCAACCCCGCCAGCTCCGGCTCTTCATACCTGTCCATGGGCAACACATCAATCATGTGCTCTGTCCACGGCCCTGCTGAGGGTCGCCGAGGAGATGGCGGAGGTGGAGCGGCTGGAAGTGGTCATGCAGTTGTGGAAGTAGACGTCAACGTCGCCGGGTTTGCCGGTGTAGATCGCAAGCGGAGAGCCGGTGGAAGTGACAGGTATGTGCACCCTCTTACGGCTTCCCATTGCCTCCTCCTGTCCTATGGAGAGAGCTACAGGAACAGCAAGCCAGATCCAGATCCAGTTAATGCTAACCTCCCTGGACTACAGACAGTCATCGCGAATCGCTACAACCCTCCGCTCAGCCTTCCAGTCCCACCTCCACACCTACCTCTATCCCCACAGCACAATCAGCATCCATGTCTCCGTTCTCTCCGCCGATGGCTCATTGATGGCCGCGGCGATCAACGCCTGTACTCTAGCACTCGTGGACGCCGGAATCCCCATGCCGGGACTACTTACTGGCTGTACTGCCGGCATGAGCGGCAGTGCCTCCACACCGCGTGACCCGCGACACGACGAGCTTGATCCTCTGCTGGATCTGTCGCTTCCAGAAGAACAGGAACTACCTTCGCTCACTGTTGCGACGACGACGGCAGTGCCCGTTGGCGAGAACAATATGGATGAGGATGAGGAGGCCATGAAGGTCTGCGTGCTTACTATGGAGTCTAAGGTTCACGCTACGTACCTTGAGACGATGTTGGCGGTCGGGATCGATGGGTGCAGTCAGATCCGCGAGTTGTTGGAAGGTGTCATCAAAGGATCCCGGGGGTGACGCAGAAAAAAGAAAAGAAAAAAATCAAAAGATTCAAATGGGAGAATAGTTCAAGTTGATACCCTGTCTTACGTTTAATGTTACCAGTTACGGCCATTCCGAGAATTTGCTCAAACTACCTCCCACTAAACTTTTAGGGCCAAATCTATAAATGTGCTCATATTGCTCATATTAGGGCATATGGAAGAGCTCCTATATCTTCCGATTCCTTTATTTACATATTTTGTACTGTTTTCATTTTGTTTGTCTCGATCAACACGAGATTATTTCGACTCGGTGCTCCCCAAGGTCCCCAGTCCCCAGTCAATCATGGATATGAATGGTATGACAATGCCAATGGCCACTTCGACAAGCTCAGCAGCTATGGCCAGCAGCACCGGAATGAAGATGGACGGAATGGGCATGGGAGGTAGCTGCAAGATCTCGGTCCGTCTAATATCAATCCTGGATTCACTACTCTATACACCGGATTCAAGCTTACACACAGTCACGATCAGATGCTTTGGAACTGGTACACAGTTGACGCATGTACGAAAATCTACATCCGCTCTACATAATCCCACAATCTAACAAACCCCTAGGCTTCCTCGCCAACTCATGGCATATAACCTCTCGCGGCATGTTCGCCGGCTCATGCATTGGAGTAATCTGTCTCGTCTTGAGTCTCGAGCTCCTCCGCCGTCTAGGCCGAGAATACGACTCGTTCATTGTCCGTCGAGCGCGTCTTAGAAGACTCTATATGCCAGGCTCTTCCACCACGCAATCCGTCTCAAATGTTCCCCTGCGAAGTGAAGAAGACACCATCAAGCCGCCCAACAACTGCTGCGGCAATGCAGAGACCGATGCTACGTTCTTTAATGCAGACGATGATCTCATCACTCCTGTGCCGGGTACTCCCCAGAACGGCTCGAAGAAGCAGGCTTCTGCTGCTGCGTCGGCTAATGCCATGCGGGATGTTGGTGTTCAGCGCATGGATAGACAGGAGGTTATGCTTGCGCCGTATCGTCCGTCGCTTGTTGAACATACTATCCGCTCTTTGTTGCATATGGCGCAGTTTGCTGTTGCATACATCATCATGCTGCTTGCTATGTACTTCAATGGGTATATTATCATTTGTATCTTCATTGGGGCTTTTCTGGGTGCGTTTATCTTCTCCTGGGAGCCGGTGGACTTGAATAAAGAGTAAGTTGTTCTGTCTGTGTATTAAGTATACTTTTTCTGTGCTAACATGGCTTTTTCTTTTTTTCAGGTCGGATGCTACGTCTGTCACTAAGTGCTGCGGTTAAAAAGTGTTGCGCGGTGTTGTCTTGGCCTCAGGTTCAAATTACGATTTGAATCTACCACCTTTTTCTGGTTTGATATCCCGGTATTTATTCTTCAAATTCAAAGAGAGGGCAATATGCAGTTTCTTGTGTCCAAATTTAGCCTTCCCATGCCATGACGTATGAACCCTCTCCAAGGTTCTAACTCTCTTTACTCAATTGCCTTTTGTTAATAAAAAAGACTTGTAACAAATTAGTTCACAAATAGAATCAATATAGTACACAAATCTCTTGGAATATTTATTGGAAGTGAAGGTGGAAACCTTTTCCCTGGAAGAAAAAAAAAACTTGCCATCTCACGCGGGGTAGATGTAGTTGCGCGCGGACCCGCGATCAAAGTCCTCGACTCACCTCATGAACATGTGGAGCTTTCTACTGGGAAAAGAAAGAAAAGGACTTTTAATATGGTGATTTAAATGGTAATTTCGTGCTTTGCGGTAGATCAATATGAAATATGCAGTTGAGCTAGTTTGGTTTTGGCTTTGCGCCTCGATCTTATAAAAAAGAAATAGGGTAAGCGTACTCGATTTTACAAGTCCTCAGATCTACAAATTGACCAACAAGTTCCCACGACAGAAAGGCATGTATAACTAGCTCGGTAGAAACTTTAGATTACAAGGCGCAAAAGGGAAAGCCACCTATGCTAGCCCCACGCCGCACTGTAGCGACGGGAAAAGAACCACGTTCATGACGAAAAGAAAGACATTCATCCTCCAAACACCCAACTAAATCTCCAGAATGAGCTTTTTAGTTGCCACCGCAGTTGACGATGGTGGGCTTAACAGCGGAGCGGATGGAGCCGGAGGAAGAGCCGAGAGCCTCGATCTCCTTGACAACGTTCATGGACTCGGCATCAGCGACCTCGCCGAAGACGACGTGCTTGCCATCGAGCCAAGAGGTGACAACGGTGGTGATGAAGAACTGGGAGCCGTTGCTGGAAAAAAGGGGAGGAATGTTTAGTATGGTTCTGTGGACTAGGGATACAAAACCGAGACTTACGTGTTGGGGCCAGCGTTGGCCATGGACAGGAGACCAGGGCGGGTGTGCTTGTGGACGAAGTTCTCATCGGGGAACTTCTCACCGTAGATGGAGCGACCACCGGTACCCTATTCCGGTAAAATAAGAGTCAGACACCGAGCATTGCAGTGAGCATCAAGATTAGAAAAAAAAAACTTACGTTGCCACGGGTGAAGTCACCACCCTGGAGCATGAACTGGGGGATGACACGGTGGAAGGAGGAGCCCTTGTAACCGGAACCCTCCTTGGCGTTGCAAAGCTCAGCGAAGTTCTTGGCAGTCTTGGGGACCTCGTTGGCGTAGAGGTTGAAGTTGATGCGGCCAGTCTTGGCTAATGGGGGAATTAGCATCAATTTCAATTCCAATTAATGTAGGATGATGTGAGATTGCCAAGCTTTAATACTGATATTGAAAGCTGGAGGTTGGAGGTTGGAAGCAGCAAGGTAAGATTGGGGAGGCAAAAACTCTCCAGAAAGAAGAATAACAGAGATTGGGAAACTTACGGGTGGAGGAGCCAGCAGGGGCGTACTGGACCTCGAAGAAAGCGGTGGTGTTGGACATAGCGGCGGTTGATGAAGCGAAAGATCGGGCTTGGAAAGAAGTGCAATTGAAGAGAGAAGAAGAGAAGAGGGAAGAGGGTGGGGTTATTGACCTCAGTCGGCAGAACATGGTGAGGGGCAGGGCGGAGCGGGTAAACTCGGGTGCCGGGCTGGTTTGGGGTTAGCTTGTTGAGCTTCACTTAAAGACCACTTGTGCACTTTCTGCCTGAGGCTCCACTTTAGAGCTTCTCCAGACTCTCCAGGGGGACAAACATGCTTCTGTTGTCTAATGATGTCTCTGGAAGAGTCTGAAGCAAAGTGGGAATGCACTCTAACATTCACATGACAAGAGACCAATTTCACTTACAAAGGATATAGATTGATGAAGAATGCGAATTAACGAAGTAGAAAGAAGGAAAAAAACCGAAGCTCAATGCCAAAAAGCGTCTAGAGCTCCGTGATTATGTAACTTCCGGGATATCCCTGCCGAACTAGTAGTCTTGGCTACGAGAAGATATGCATCTTTTAAGGGGTAAAATTGTGTTTATTTGATGGTATAGTCGTTGCACTGAAGATATACGGAGTACTTCCATTTCACCTGTGTACACCCAAAATGCAAGAAAATAACAGCCCGATACCAGCAAGCGGTCGTGAGATGAAAAAAAAGCTTTGAACAAATCAACATGAAATCAGGCCGAAAAACCTAAAATAACAATAGAAAGGGGCTAAAATAAAGTACAAAGAATAAGAGAATGTGAAAGAAAAAGTGACGAAAGGGAAAGGAACCCTGTAAATGCCACACATATCGGGACATCGTTTCGACATTGTCCACTCGTTGCCATAGAATGATCGCTGAAAAGCAAGGGGCAAAGAGGAATGAATATAAAGAAGAATTCTAGAGGAAAGAAAGAAGAAAAAAATGGGTAGCCCCAAGTTCATGTCATGAGAAACAATGCCTCGGATCAAGCTCATCACCGGAAGTCATCGTCATCATCCTCATCAGCAACTACCGATGTAGCCTCGAGGCGCTGAACAAGGTCTTTGGTCTGCCGAGCAATCTCAAATGCAATGGGAGGCAGTTTGTTCGTGAGTTCACGCAATTGCTCAGGGGTGGTAGCGTGTTCGCCCTCATCAGCAGTGGCCGCCAACCGGCCGCGGCACTGGTCCAATGCTGCGATAACCGGTTCAGATGTCTGCCGCAAGGCGATATCTCCGCTGCGTTCGCGTATCAGGTGCTCTGTAGCGGAAACCACATTCGCGACAACGTTCGAAATGGCAGAAACGTGCGTCTGGACAGTATGCAGGTTGTCCTCGGCTCGGATACTAGCCACCAAAGCCTGGATTTGTTGGACCATGCCATCCGTCTGGTCCTCGACATAGAGCTAGGATCGTCCGTCAGTAAATCATTCATCGCGATATTATCCTTCTCAAGTCGACTCACCTTAAGCTCCAACACCTCGTGATCTTCTTGCACATGTCCCCAGCCATGATTGAGGTCATGGGCAGGACCGTTCTGCACAGGGTACTGAGAGTCATCCGGACGACTGATAGCACTGTAGACGGAATCATTGCTCATCCGCTTCTGACTGGCAGATGTATCGAAATAGTCAGGGAATTGCCCCTGAGATACATCTGCCTCGTCATCTTCATCCTCCAACTCATCTACGGGTGATACTTGGATCTTCACTACACGGATCAGGTCGACAACAGCTGTGCAAACGTGGGAGGCCGCCGCATCAAGGAGCGACACCGGAGAAAGTCCACTGGAGCTGGCAAAGTTGCGCGTGGCGGTGATCAAGTTATTCGCTGTCGTGGACACCTGGCCCTTGACCTTTGCGCGCAGAGCAGCCGACCCATCTACCGGGATCGGGGAGTATTCCACGTCCTGGAGAATATGGCGGACTGTTGCAATGACCATCTTGATCTGGTGGAGCACCACATGCGATTCCTCGAAGCGCGCAACTCGCAGGAGCTCGTCCACAGACACCTGGAACTTAGTAACGTGAATATCCTTGACCAGCCCGTCAGGTTGCACCAATTCATGCTCTTTGGCAACAAGACTTGCGTCGGGCCGCGAGTCGGCGAAACCACCAGACGACGTGCGAAGTTGCCGCAGCTGCGCCTTGACCTTGGCGTAGCGGTTCTTCCATTCGTTGGCATCTGCCTCGAGTCTGTGGACCTCATTCGAGAGCTTTTCTTCGCGCTCCCAATTGGAGTGACTCTCGGCTGAAAGGGTCTTCATTTCCACCAGGAAAGCCGATGCCTCGCGGCGGACTTCGTCGGTCACTTGTTGCTGTTGCTGCAACTCTGCTTGTAGCTTCTGGTGCTGAGTTTCTAGATCAACATAACGCGCTTGTAGACCTGCATCATCGACGCCCCGGGAAGAGTCATTGAGCTGGCTGCGAAGATCCCGTTCCATGGTGTCGTGCTCGGTTCTAACTCTCTCAAGCTCCAGCTGAAGTGAGCTGTTGAGATCCTCAGCTTTTGATACCTTGCTCTCAAGGTCGTGTCGTAAGTCGTCCCATTCCTGACGTTCGTTATGACTGATCCCGGAGGAATCTGCATCTTGTGATGACTGGGCCAGCTCCTCATCCTTGGAGCGGACCAATTCTTCCAACTTTTCAATCTTATCTTGAAGAACCGATACTTGTGTCTGGCTCTCTAGTAACAGTCTTCGTTCACTGTCACCCAAGGTTGTTGTTGTACCCCGTCGGCTCAAAACAGCATCTAGAGCGAACGCATCACTCCGAGCATCATCCTCATCCTCGGGTCCCATATCATCACTATCCTCGACCATCGTGCTTTTATTCGGAACCATCGTATTGCTCTGGAAAGACCGAGGAAACGGTCCATCGCCATTCATACTCGGTGGGCCTCCAAGAGAACCAGTACGCGGAGGAAACTGACCTCCCGGGGGGCCGCCAGACGGGTACCCTCGTCCCATACGGGAAGGAGGACCCCGAGAAGACTGCTGCGAGGTACGAGCGCTGGCAGGGCCCATATTTGGAGGCGGCCGGGCGCGGTATTCTCGGCTGGTGAAATGCGGGAAGCGGCGCTCCAGCTCACAGAAGACATCGGTCGCCAGATCACGGAAACGCACATGGTGGAGCGCAGCGAGCTTTTGGCGGGCATGGTTGCGCTTTTCGTGGAAGTCGGCGCGAGCGGGGAGGTAAGGAGGTACGTCTGGACGAGGTGGCCGTCCGGGAGGTGGTGAGGCCTGCTGCCGCCGGATCAATTCGTCGTAAACATCGGTGGAAAGTTCGTGGAACTGGGTTGGCGATAGTCGCAGTAGTTTATCCCGGGCTTTAT